GCCATCTTTGCTGTATCTGCCAAATGGACGCAATTCACTTTCTCCATCTTCGGTCCTAGGTTATGCATCTAGACATTTAAATGTTGTGAAACACTCATTTCTTTTAGGGAGAACCATAATTTTTCATCATTTATACCAGGGGTCCTCAAACTAAGGCCCGAGGGCAGGATACGGCCCTCCAAAATCATTTACCTGGCCCTCGCTCAGGGTCAACCTAAGTCTGCAACAACTTGAAAGCATACAACAACAACAATCCTATCTCATCAGCCAAAAGCAGGCCCAGACATCCCATTGAAATACTAATAAGTTTATATTGGTTAAAATTGTTCTGCATTTTAATTATTGTATTGTTTTTAAGTATTTTGCACTACAAATAAGATATGTGCAGTGTGCATAGGAATTAATTCATGTTTTTTTCAAGTTATAATCTGGCCCTCCAATAGTATGAGGGACTGTGACCTGGCCCTCTGTTTAAAAAGTTTGATCTATACAAAGACTTTGCTATAATCTGTAAAGCACACACTGATTTCCTTCTTGAAGTCTTGCCCATTACAGTATATTTGCAGTATGATATCTAGTGCTTCTCTCTTTTTGAATCCAGCTTGGCAATCTGGTATTTTCTCACTCCATAAATGGTAGGAAGCTTTTTGTGTGTGGAGAATTTTGGGCCACGGTTTTCTTGCATGGAAGATTAGTGCAATGTAATTTCTTGCCTTTTCCCTATCCAAATGGATTGTTTTTCTTTTTCCTAGAAGACTCAAAAGGGTGGCAGCAGCAACATAAGACTGGATGGGAGGGAGATATAGATTTCTGCTTGTACCACCATCCTTGTTCCCAATCACAATCTTGTCTCCCATGTCTTCACCTTTATGCTTCCTTTTAATGTTTCTTTTTATTTTTTTAAACCCTCATGTATCTTAGTGCTAAAACAGTAGGATCCTCTGTTTGAAAAGATTTGCCCCTAGTAAGCCGAGAATTCAATGGGATGAAACAATGTCATATCCCTCCTCTTTCTTTTCCAGTGTTGAATCTTCAAGCTCAGATGAAATTTCGTTGGAGGTGCAGGGAGAGGTCCTGAGTACAGGGGCCTATTGTTTTAGCACTATAGCCCCAGAGAGAAATTTTTACATTAGCAGGATTAAAAAGTGAAACACTCGGAAAGAGTAGAAGACATTTTTAGAAATGCCAGGAAAGAACGCTACTAGAACATGGCCATATAGCCTGAAAAACTCACAGCAACCCATTTTTAGAAATGTTTGTCCATGTGAATTCTCAGGGGTTGATCTCTGTCTGAATCGAAGACACTACTGTTTTAGTGCTGCAGCTCTGAGAGTTAATGCAAATTTACAGTGCGGAATGGCTAAAACATCCTGAAAATAGGGAGGAGGCAGGTTACTGAATGAAATCAGTTTGTCACAATCCACAGGATGGCCAAGTGTATGTACTGTGATATTAAAAACCTTCCCTTTTGGATAGGAACAAAATATGTAAGAGTACAGCTGGAAGAGATAGGAAACAAACACTGTATGATTGGCAAAAATGCCATATGGCTCTTTTGAAAAAGAGGAACTAACAACAAAACAAACAACTAACATTCAGGATTTGTTGTAATCCGAAGCATTTTATATTTAATGGTGTGAATTAGTTGGACATTTTTCAGACTACCCGCAGAGGGCACTGTTGTAAAACAGAAAAAAATCCTAAAAATAAAAGCAAAAAGCTAATAATCTAAGTTTAGTAAATAACGAATTTTGTTGGAGATAAAAATTCTCATCTTTCACAGTAACTGGTTTGTGCTGACCACACAAACCAGTACTAGTACATCCGGTTTTTAATTCTACCATTCACCAATCATTTCCTTAAATAACTTTTTGCTTACATATCATGGCCATGAAATACTCTAACTGGCTCCTAGCATTTCTCTTATACATATATATTGGGTAACTCAAATATAACCTTAAGAACTAAAGTCTTTCTCCTCCATTAGGATACTTCTTAAAGTGACTGTTACTGATTTCAATAATCACAGAAGCACACCAGGAATGCCAAAAGATGAAACACTGTGGATTTTATACTCTGGTAAAATATATTTTAAATGTGTTTTTCTTCTTTAAAAAGCTTATTGTTGTTTTCAAACATTAGCTAGTTTAAAGCTACATGAAATATTACGTTCACTGCTTGGGAACACTTCAGCAAAGGTTACACAGTGAGTTTCATGGCCCAATGACAAAACTAAGTGCTGTATATTACTGCATTACAAGAGTTGCTATCCCACTTTAAGCGAGGCCCAGGACCTCTCTGGCTGAAAATTTTAAACTGTAAATTCCAGGATTTTACAGGAGCAGCCACAGGATTTAAAGTGGGACAGCAAGTCTTTAACAGTGTAGTGCAACAACCTTCTAAATCTCCCATATCTCAATGTTCTCATCACTGCACCATATTGGTCTTTGATAGGAACCCTCTTCGTGTCGATTTTCATTCCAGTTTCTTGCAGCTCATAGCAAGAAATCATCCACCCTTCGTCCTAATTTCTAATTCCAAAAAGAAGAATCAGCTCCAGCAAGGGCAATCTATTTCTTCCCTAGAGAGAAGCAAAAGAGAAAGGCAATCGGGGAAGAGCAAAGGAAGGGTTGCTCTTACTTTTGGCTATGGCCCTGATCAGTGCCAGTATGCGACTCCTGACAATTACCAATGTAATAATGCGGCCCTCAACAGCCACCCCTATCTTTTGGGTATTACTACTGTAATTCTGAGTGCTAGATAGGTAAGGATGTTGGCAACTTCTATCTAGAATCTTCTGGGGGAGGAATCTGTAGGATCTTCCAGTAGAAGACAAGAATAATCAACAATGATAATGAAGATATACAAGGAGATATTCCTCCTTTGTTTGGAGAAAAACAGCAAGGGAAGGAGTCAAGGAATATGCTTAAAAATTCTGGTGCTGGACCAACAGATGCCGCCAGCTAATCACCCTTCAGTCAAGCCTTAAAGAAAGGAGCTACCTGATACTTATAGTAAAAAAAAAAAAAACCCCTACACTTTTCACTAGGCAGTATGTACAACTCCAAGGAAAGAGGAGAACATTTCCCAATTTTTGGACTTTTGTGAAAGAAACCTTCCACATGTTTTAGTCTGGGGTAGAAGTACTTACTCAGTAAACATACTCTATGAAGAAAAAAATAATCTTATATGAATTTTACCATATTCTGTTATCATAACACACTTCATTTTTAAGTTAATATAAGCAGAAAGACAGGATAAATGAGGTTTCTTTTGGGAACCAGATCTTTGGCCTCTAGTCTCATAAAGATATTATCCCTGAGAAGTTCGAAAGTGTGCAGTCTTATCTCAGGAATATAAATGTACAGGAATATTTTATTATTTATGTCATAAATCCCTCTAGCCATTTTCAGAGCTGACAAAACCGAAACACCATGAGCCATTATCTCTCCAACCCCAAGTTAGCAAGCCGCATATGTAAAACTTGCCACTTAAATGGAAGTCAAGGTTGAAGAACTATAGTCTCAGCTGTGGTTTTTCTTTGGATAATTTAATGGATATGAAAGATACAAGGTCTTTGCATTAGTGATCAACGAGGTTTTTTTTCCAAGGTAGATCAATAGTTGCAAATGCTCATACTTTCTTTAGCGGTTGTAGGAGAAAGAGGTGGAAAATAGCTATTGTGCTTCTTCCTCTGTAAAGAAAAGGCATTCATTCCCTCTCTCCTCCACCCACTCCATACATCTCTTGTCCTAGCTTTGCTCTGGAAAACTACAGATCAGAGGAAAGCTTGGGAAACCTTCAGCTTGAGTAGGAGTTCACTCTGCACGCCATCCTATTGCAAAGTACAACCAAATCACTGTGCTTATGGCAGTGGGCGTTGCACCCACCATGTGCTAAATGCTTTAAAAACATTTCAGAGATGGAATCAAGAAGAAGGGAGGAGGGCAAAGTGGTTTCCAGTGAGAAATTTCCATTTGGAAAATTACTTAATGTGATTTCTTAAAGAATACAGAACTTGAAGTACATGGTCTAAAAGCAAGCAGCACTTACTACATCTAGAATACATCTGTGATGTACCTGCCCTGTATTTCTCTTTATAAGCACATCACAGCTCTAAGATCGTCAGGAGAAATCCTTCTCTCTCTCCCACCATCTTAGGGAGATCAGAATAGCTCCACCCTTGCTTTCCTTCTTCCACCAAGTTAAACATTTTTACACCATCAGGCTTTAATGTCATGGAATGGTGAGCTGTATATGAGATGTATATCGTTTCTAAAATGAATTTTAATATGTTTAGCTTGATGTATATTAATTGTTTAAAATATTTTATATTTATGTTTTATAGACGTTTTTATAGTTTTTAATCTGTATTGTTTTAAAATATAATCACTGAGAGAATTATTAAAAGAAAGATGGGTTATCGATAGTATTGGTGATGCTGATGATGATGATAATCCAAATCGATTCTATCTGAAAAGGCCATGGTATCAAGTCACAGGAAGATGGCTTAAGCCATGAATATTGGTTCCCATATACTAATTGCACACATCTAGCCTTGGTAAGAGCTAGGAAGCATACCTTAAATGGTTCTGCCTCTGTACATGTATCAAGGATAACTTGTAAGTTGCTCCAAGGGAAGGCTGCAGCTTTATGACAAATATACCAATTCATCATATCCACTTTTCACAAAATATCTGTGTAAATTGGATCAGTCTTTGAACTGATGCTTCACGTGACTAGTTCACCACACTTAGCTGGCTCCACAGACTAGTTTAGAGTAACTTTCATATGATGCCCCCATTATATCTCTTAGAAAATAATTGAAATTATGCAAAACACTTTCAAAACATTTTTCATCTAAAGCGTATGGTGACCATTTGTTATTTGGTGCCTTCTAGTGTTCTTTGTTCAAAATAATCACCCTTGATATTTTGAGGGCTTTTCCTTTCAAACAGTAAAACCTGATGAACCACCACAATTAAAGTGAGTTCCCATACCATTCTCTGACATTCCTGCGCCACCAGTTGGTGAACTTCGATTTTGCTGTACGACTGACAATGCATATTGTCCATCAATTGCTGCACTTGTTTTCTTCTCTGGGCTTCCCCGTGATGGAACCTGGAGCTTTAAGGCCTCCAACCTGGAAAACAAATTAAGGTAGACACACAAAATTAATCAGAGAAAAAAAAATCCAAACGCAATTAAACATTTTGCACTGCAGGTTGTTCCATAGCCCTCAAGCAGCTTCACTAAGGATATGTCTTCATAAATAATTTTTTGTGCAATGCAGTACTGTTGCTAGCATCTTGTGCTGTCATCATTTACAACAGCCCAGATATTATGGACATGCTGGTACTGTAATTGGAGTGTAGACACATATTCATACTTCCTGTGTTGCGTCCTTTCCACACTTCTTATTTTTAGAGAACAGTTTGGTATTACATTCTTAAGTAATCCATAATTTAGAACTGAATTAGAACTGATTTCTGTGGAGAAGAGCGTTCAGTGCTATAACTAGTACATCAGAAATCAGATACCAAGTTCTTATCATTAGCAATGAGAATTTGAGTATTTTTGAGCCTCTCCTTCAGCCCCCAGTGTTTTCATGTATCTGTGTATACAAGTCCCCTGTTTACATACTATGAATTTCAGAGGGTTTACTTAGGCAAGAAATACTTAGAGGAGGCAAGTTCCCTCCTCTCTAATCTTGGAAGCTAAACAGGTTCAGCTCTGGTAAGTACTTGGATGGGAAACTACGAAGAAATACCAGGAAGCATAGGGTATATTTTAGAAGAATTTGCATACACCAGCAAAATCTGAGAACAGTTATCCTGGAGTAAAAGTAGTGCATCTGTGTTTCTTTTTATATTAGGATTTCAAATTTTAAATAAAATAGAGCCTTTTATAACAGCTTCTAAAACCTGGTTTTGCATGGAAAGCACAGATTAACATTGAACTTCATATGCCAGTGTGGAAATCTTTCCTGGCAGATATACATGAACATTTCACAGTTTAATGAATCCTGCTTATCATTCTGGTTTTTCACACTGAGGGTTCTGGCTATAATCAAATTTAATGCCCTCCATGCGTTCAAGGTCTTCATGAAAAACATCCCTTCTCAGAAAATGTACTTAATTTTGCAAGCTTTGGCCATTCTATCTACTAGGAATAAACTGGATCAAGCTCAAAAAAGCAAAGTAATGTCATAAACTATTATCTAAGACTTCAAAGAACTGATTCTAGATGATAGCCGCTTCTTCTTCTTTTTTATCAGTGCAGGGGTAACTATGGTATGTTCATTGTATGACTAATTCCATATGATGGCAATACCTTTCTCAGACCATCCAAGAAGGCATAAAAACGCCAGTGCAAGCTTTGAAATCCCTATTTACTTCATCAGACAACAAATAAAGACATAATCACATGAGTCTCCTAAAAAGGCTTGCAACAAAATGACCTCACAACCTTTGAGGCTGCCTGCCATAGATGTAGGTGAAATGTCAGGAGAGAATGCTTCTAGAACATGGCCATACAGCCCAAAAAACCTACAACAACCCAAAAAAATTCAAAGTGATCTGGAACTTACAGTAGTCTGCTTAATGAATATGTGTGTGTTTCTCTTTTCCCAAATTAAAAGAGCCCTGATTGTTCTGGTATGTGTGTTTGTCTTTCTTTCATTTAATTAATGCATTTATCTACTAGTCTTCATATACCAGGGTCCCCTGAAGGAGCGTACTTTGGGAAGAAATTTACATGTGGGCTATATTCGTTAGCCTTAAACCCAAGATAGTAATACCTAAATATACTAGGTCCATTTGATTTCTAATGATGCATCATGAGCTATGCGGCAAGAGTCCAAAATTCAGTACAGTTGGCCCTTCATATCCATGGATTCAACTATCCATGTCTTGAAATTATTACCAAAAATACAACAAAAAAACCAGAAAGCAAAGATTAATTTTGTTATTTTATATGAGGCACACTAGTTTCTGTTGGGTTTCATCCCTGACTGCACAAGTTTCCAGCTCTCAATGAGTAGTTAGCCTAGATAGACTGAGGGATTCCTCCCCAATTTCCTTTAGCAAGCTTATTTTTAAGAAGGTCTTATCCAGCCAAGATGTAGTAGATATAGCTACTTTTATTATTTTTCCTTTTCCTTAAAAGATAGCTCAGTGAAGCTAGTTAGCTCCAAGAACCTTTCCTAACTAGAATGGATTTCTTTTATCTTTAATAAACATATTATTTTTGATCCCATGAAGTTGTGGATCTGCAATCCTGTTCCATCCTGTTGAATGGAAGCCAATCCTGGCTCACTACATGTAAGTTTTTGCTGCTTATGAACTGTGCATCCAGCACTCTGCTATATTTTTGGTGGAATCACCCCCAGAGAGGGTTATTTTTGAGCCTAACAGCTCCTGATTCCCAACGGTTTCCTGCCCCACTATATATAATGAGAATTGAACATCCACCAATTTGTTACCTACAGGGAGTCCAGGAACCAAACCTATTGCATTGAAATACAGAATATTGCCTATATATCTGCACAGGAACCAATGAGTTTCCACAAGTTAAATGCCTATAGCAGGCCTTGGAAGCAAGCGGTGATGGGTTTTTTATGGGAACTGATGGGATTTGCAGTCCAACAACATCTGAAAGTCCTAATTGTCCACCATTACTTTAGATTTACTTTAAAAATAATAAGAAAATGCCAAGGAAGGTCATACAACATTTCTAAAGGGCCCCTGTCACTGCAGACCTGTATAGATGGTGCCATGTTATAATTATAATTAATGTTTATTCATACCCCACTTTTTCTCTCCCCAGGAAATCTCAAAGCAGCTATAGGGAAAATGGAGTTTTGAATGCATTTTAAAAACCATTTCTCTGAAGATTTAGCTACAGTAACCTTGCTTCCTTGAACTCCCTCTCTCTGAGAAAGATAACTGAAGAGTTCTTTTTCACTTTTCCTTTTGTGTAACATTAATCTGTAACATTAAATTTAGAATCTTGAGAAAAATGGTTAGATTGTGTGTCAGAGGTCTTCCAGACAGATAAATGAAAAAGAGCCTAAAATTGTAATAGCACAGAATAAAGTACCCTATGCCCAGTCTCTTCAAAAGCATATGCACTTTGTTATACAGCGAGTCTATATAATAAATGGAAGGCTTTGCCAGCACTTTCTTCAGTTGGATACAAAATGGATAAGGATTCCACATATAAGTTCTGATGGAGATAAACTACATTTGCAATATATACCTGGCGAGTTTCAGTGTTCTGCTGTGGTGTGTGAGATAGCAATTGTGCTCCCATGGAAAGAAAAGGATATGGTGCATGTTTATCCTACACTTTTGAAATCTCTTGGATAGTGGAACTGGGATTTGGCAACTTAATTTTTAGTGTAAATATGTGATGTGAGATAAATAATAATAATAATAATAATAATAATAATAATAATAATAATTTATTCTTAACACTGAGACTGTGTGTGTGTGTGTGTGTGTGTCAGGATCACTTGAGAAACTGCAAGTCACTTCTGGTATGAGAGAACTGGCTGTCTGCAAGGACGTTGCCCAGGAGATGCCTGGATGTTTTGATGTTTTATCATCATCATCATCATCATCATCATCATCATCATCACCATCACCACCATCATCATCATGTTTTGATGTTTCACTGAGACTGAGAAGTAACTTTTTTGGTGGGAATGTTCAGATGAATATATCTGCTAGTTTGAAAGGCAATATAATTTTAGCATGGAGGAATTTTTCTCTTTGCCTTAAATGTCTTACTAGTCTTCACCCAGAAGAGAAAGGAACCTGCACTATACTGCACAAGGTATTTACCCAGATGAGGTCTTCTATATGCACATGCACACTCAAAAATGCCCACATTGCCAAAATGTATCAAAGCCTAAATAAATTAAAGGCAGGAGATTTTGTCTGATCTTGGAAGCTAAGCAGGGTGAGCCCTGGCTAGTACATGGGCAGGACCCCACCAAGGGATATCGTGTGCTGTATGCTATATTTCAGAGGAAGGCAATGATACAGCACTGAGAATTCCTTGCCTAAGAAAACCCTATGAAATTAATGGAGGCAACGTAAATCAACATGTGACTTGAAGGAAGGTACATACCCTGTTTCCCCAAAAATAAGACATATCCATAAAATCAGCCGTAGCAGGATTTCTAAGCGTTTGCGCAATATAAGCCATACCCTGAAAATAAGGGATAGTGATAGGCATGGCTATGCAGCGTATATGGTTGAGTCCCCCATCAGGTCCCAGTCCTTCTGTGCCTGCCGCAAGCTGAGACATAGGAAGTGAAAGTCTCAGTGAAGTGAGGAGCAGGATGCTCTGCTTTAGGTATTGTGTGTCCTCAGGGGGAATAAGTAAAGCTGTGGTTGCTGTTTTACCCAGCATTGTGGGTCTCTCCCCCAGCACCAACCAGAAACAGTCTGTGGGTCTCTCTCACCCCCCACAAACACTAGTAAAGTTGCTGCTCCATAGCACTGACTAGCAATAGCCTGCGGGTCTCTCTCACCCACACAAACACCAGGGGATGGGGGGAAAGCTTCAGCAAGCAATCTGCTACTGAGCCCAGAGAGATCATCCCATAAATGCAGATTGTTGTACTATACTCAATAAAAATAAGACATCCCTTGAAAATAAGCCATAGTGTGTCTTCTTGAGGAAAAATAAATATAAGGCAGTATCTTATTTTCGGGGAAACATGGTACACACAGGAAATGTGGTTCCTCAAGGTTTCATTTTGGCCCTCAAAGGACATTATCATCCCTCCCAGCTGTCCCAAGATGACAAGAACAATATTGATTAATCCTGTCTTCCATTTTTTCCAGCTGCTTTTAAAATGTCTCGGTTTCTCTCTCCTCTTCTCACATTCCCCCTTTGTACTCATTTTTCTTCATTTTCTGCAAACCTAGTTCAGAGTACAAAAGTAGTTTGTAATTAATCAACTTATCAAGAGAATAGTGGAGAATCCAGTCCTTCCTAGATGTTTGCAATCTCTCCCATCTTGTCTGTTCAATGTCATTAATGACTTTGGCCATCTCAACCTCATGTCCCACTTTTCATCTGTGAAAGGAGGGTAAGTATTGCCACTGGTTTTGATGTCACAAATAAGCC